TTAAAATGAGGAGGATGAGGCTAGAATCCAAAGCCCTTCGACATCCGTGCAATTAAAGCTAGGCACGAAGAATCCTATTTATACGAGATGCCCATTGGAGAAGTGTCGGCATGTCTATGGATTCCCTTCGCTTTGTTGCGCCTCGTTGACGAGTATATTGCAATAAAAATTTTCATGCGATATTACGATAAAATAATATTATAAATACGTTCCGTAACGAAAGCATTAAGTTTGGAAAATAAATTTTAAACATAGTGGCGAAGGATTTAATAGAGAAGCGAGCATAAGTAGCGGAACCTAGGAAATAATACATAGACTTCGTGAAGTAATTAAAGGAATGGATGTTTCGTGAAAATTTTATATGTTGCATTTTTATGTAAAAAAAATACCGTTAGATTTTATATTGAATATTTCAAGCGTTATGTAAATATAATTTTGCATTAAATATTATCAACCGCGATCTGAATAAATAATCATACTGAGAAATAATTATATTATTTATTTACCGTAATTCAAGCAACCACGTTGCTTCAGATACTTTAAAACGTATTAATTTTATTTCTATAGTCTTATGGGGATAAGCCGTCATGAGGTTTAATGCCAAATGAAAATTTTATCAATTCAAGACGATTTAACTTTCCTTTTAATTGGACAAACAATATAGTAAATGTTTACGTAATAATTACATTATATATACTTATTTATTTATTTATATGTGTTTTGTATTTTCGTCTTATTTCTTCGAATAGCAAGTTTACAATTTATGTAAAAAAAAAAAAAAAAAAAAAATTGCACGTGCGAGTCTAATGGTAACTATAAATTTGATAATTATTAATGATTCATGAATATTGGTAAAATTTGTAAAAAAAAAAAATTGTAAAAAAAATTCTATATACAAATTAAATAGACCGATATAAAAAAAATACTTGGTTTCAAATTTTTAATTTTTTTTTTTTTTTTTTTTTTTTTTTTTTTTTATATTTTGTTATATTTATGACTTTTTCATATTTTGTTATATTTATGACTTTTTGTGTTTTATTAAGGATATGAGTTTAAATACTTAATCATTAATGGCTGTTGGTCGAGGATTTTTATTCGTTCAAATTTTTATCATGTAATTTATGTCACATAGCATGATTTATACGAAATTAAAAATAATTATTACTTCACTGAAAGTATTATCACGCGTTATTTAAATGATAAATATTCGAATTAGATATTGCATTTGGTATTAAATATTAGCACCATATTAGCATTAAATTGCAATGTTAAAGCGAACATATTTTATAAAAGATACTATATTTTATATATGATTTTCTATAAAAAAAATAATTTCAATCAAATCGGTCTTATCGCGAGGTGTGCCATTATGTTTTTTACATTTCTGGAAATACGCTTTCTCAATTAGGTCAAGGAAACATCCAAAATTAATGTTAAAATACTGAAAAGTAAACGTACTTCCTCGGATAACGTGAAAATTATTCCTACATTTTATTGTAAAATAAAAGAACTATTATAAGAATATCGAATGTCGAATGAATGCAATGAAAGAAAAAAAAAAGGAAAGGATAAAAGATGGGCCGATTTATGTAATACATTAAGTATATAATTGATTGGACGAAAGGTAGCATGGAGTATGAAGTAATTAGAATTAAATTTGCTGTATTAATTTGAATGAAATTTTCAAAAGAGCGCGCATGCATTATTCGGTTATGCAAAATAAGCCGGCAAATTAGTAATCATAATCGTTAATATAAGCAGATAGCGCAAGGAATAATAAAGTGCGCGCGATAATCAACAAGTCGCGTTATTAAGTTACCGGATCTGCGTCGTATCAAAGCAAGGCTAAAAGTTTATAAAATTCTGAAGATTTACAGGAGCGCTTTAGAGTGTCGCTGAGAAACGGCGAAAAGTTCGACTAGTAAACGGGATTATTATGGTAAGGCGTAGGTGGAGAACCTTAAGGCCAAAGGTGGAGGTGGAGAACCGTTAGCGTGGACGGGGGTTGCACTGACAATGTCGATGTCTCGAGTGTCGGGTTAGGAGAGGAGAGGGGATGGATGAGAGAGGAACTAATGGAGTAAGTCGAAGGTTTACTTGCGATTTTCACGTGATTCCCATCGTGAAATGTAGAACAGCGAGACTTTTCGTGACCCCGGGGAAAAAGTCGCGCGCGCACTCCCAAAGTGGAACGAGGTCACGGTTGGGGAGGCTCCGTCCTCCAGCTTCTTTTTTATTCCCGCACTTAGCAGAAGATGAGGGAGCGAGGTATTGTTGAGTAGAGGCGAGAGGGGAGAAGGTTTTATATGATAATAGCGAGGAGTATCTCGTCTGCGTAACATTACCAATTTTGCCACGAAGGTGTTCGATGTTTTTATATCGTGCGATGAGCCGAATTATTAAGTTTTCATCTCGAGCGCGAAAGGGCATTCGTTGCATTTATTATATCTCTAAATGATTTGTCTTAAATAATTCAATGTGATCGAAGGTGGGAGACTCCACTCCCCCGGTCAAACAATCTATTCTCTACCATTTTAAAGCGGATTTCAATTTTTTTTTTTTTTTTTTTGGGAAGCTTGATTCATTAAGTCGGCCGTTATCAAGTGACTTTTATTAGTATTTCACGTAGGAGATACGAACGATATCTCTCGAATAAAATTGGTATTCCGCTCAGTTCGTTTGCGCCGAATGATTAATTTGCCTTTAAAATATTTATTACCATTAAATGTCGTGACTTACAAAAGTGTCACAATTGTCCGAAGTTAAATTTGATTTGTGGTTGCTTCGCGTTTAAGAGCAACAGCGACGTTATTCATTTATATTTCGTTGCGAATAATCTTAGAATTTTAATAGGCAATTACACGTTTTGGCGCTTTATGCCTTTCTATTGTTTATTTACTTTAACAAAGAATTTATTCGCGAAAGTAGCCGAGCGATTCGCTTTTTTAATGTAATAGCCGATGTTGCCAATAAAAATGTAAATAAAGCGCGAGGAGGAACCTTAAGTTACCGTTCACCCAGATAATTTAGCATTGTAAATTCGTACGCAAATAAGTAGTTATTCGGGCTATCTCGTTGGAATGATAAATATCTACTTTTTCAATAATGAAATGAAATAATAAAACTCTCGTTTTAACAATGTATATGTATATCTATGTACGTATTTTAATGTACTATCATAAGGAATTTTCTATCACGGAAAAGAATTTTAAAGTCCGATATTTCTCGCCTTGAAAGCCAAAGAGAAGAATGAAAAACTATTACCGAAACTAATTAAGTTTTCCCTGTTTAAAGTAGCCAACGATTACGTGGTAACGGACGATATATCATTTTTTATTCTTCACAAGACTACGGTGTATGCACAAGAATGCCATTCTTGTAACTCGGTGAAATTATACTTGTAACCGATGGCTAGTTGTAGTAGTAGTAGTAGTAGTTGTAGTAGTAGTAGTAGTAGTAGGTGGTGTTTCTTCTACTGCTGCTGCTAATGCTGATGCTGTTACTCTTGCAGTTGTAATATAAGTTGATGATGGTGAAAATTAGGTTTATTACATGTGCGTTTGTGGTTTTCGAAGCGGTTAAATATACGTTTCCGTTCTCGTGATGCAAATCGGTAAATATTTAGGACACGAGCCACATCACTTTTCTCCTTACCCATGGATGAATTAAATTTTAAAACACAATAACGATTAGTCGGTTGAATCGATCTCAAATCAAATGCTAAAAAGACTGAAACTTTATTCGAGATTCAGGTTCGGGGGAACGATCGCTCGTTTCATAAATTTTTGTATTTTTTGTTTTTCTTTTGTTGTTTTTTTTTTTTTTTTTATTTAACGGCTTTCCTCATCCTCTTTCCGTTAACAGCAGGCGCTCGTTTTCAAACAAAAATAAAATATTTATATTTATATAAGTTGCAAAACTGTAAAGTGAGCGATTCTTCAGTGTTCAATACCTGCTCTTGCGGTATTCGCATGCTTGAAGTAAGACATGATATACCATGACTACATTTACGCGATTATTATTCAAATTAAATATAAGCATTACTGTTATAATGCGAAAGTGAATTATTTCAGCTTTAAATTTCAGGGGGAAAAAAGGCATAACTATCTCTAGACTTTATTGCGTACATTTTGAGAAATGGGGATGAAGACAACTTTAAAACAAAAACAAAAAACATAAAAATAAAACAAACAAAAAGACACAATAATCAATAGTTTGCTTATCATTTTATCAAATGCCTTCAGAGCTTACAGTACTGTATTTTATTCTAAAAATTGATTACGAGCAAATCGTTTAATAAACTTTATGCCCACTACGGAAGAAACTTGTTCATTACACGCAGACTGCCACTTCATCTTGCTTTCATCTTTTCTCTTTCTTGTTTTTGTTTTTAAAACTTACTTATTCTGGCTGCAGCCAAGAGAATCTGTGCGATTTACATCGAGCAAATTAACGAGCTAATAGTGGAACTTTTGATTACCCTCGCTTATTCATTAGGTAATATTCTAATGGGCGCGTCAAATACGTCTGTAATGGCAATTTAATGAAACAAGAAGTTTAAAGTTTTCGCTAACTCATTCACTAGTCCGTGAAAAAGAAAATATAAAGCGGCTAAAGATATTATTATTATTCAATATAGTAATAACGGTGTCATTCAATAACGGCTCCTTCACGTACAATATTCTACTTCACCTTGTCATATTCTAATTACAGCAGTCACACATTATTATCCCATAAACACACAAAGATTATCACCACATCGATGGAGAACTCACGTGTCTACGTCAACTAATTCGTATGATCGTTCTTAAATAATTTTGCCAAACAAAATTTGAGCTTGCACGTTCCACATTCCCCATTACACAAGTTTAACCTCCTTTTCAATGAACTTCAATGGCCTCGCGACTCCAAAAATCGTCCCTACGCCGATCGTTCTTGATCACTAAATATGAATTACATCTCTCGTCAAAAGACTCGCGGGTAATCAGTCGATCACTCACCCTTGGGCATCGAGTCGAATCCGTGGGCTCCGCCGAGGTGGCTCGTCTCGCCGGTCGGCAGACCCGCGGGCCTCTGATGGTGCTGCTCCTCGTAAGGCGGCGGCGAGGCCTCCCTCATGCAGCCCATGAAGCTGAGGGGCCCGCCGCTCGGTGCCGGACCCGCGGCGCTCGCCATCGGGGCCTGCAACACATCAAGCATCCAAGCTCCGAGATAACCGTTACCAAGGCGCCGCAGCCACACGCCACCCGACCTCCGCTCGCCCGACGAACCCTCGACCTGGCCCTGCTCCTAGCTACGCTCCCTGCCTCGGCTCCAGGCCGGCGAATAATAGCATGAGTCGCGCGGCCCTTGCCACGGTTAACGGTTACTGGACCGAGACGGCTGGAGATGACACTCGCGAGACGAGAACCGGGGATGCCGTTCCAGCGTGGTTATAGGGCTATCGGGTAGTCCGTTGACGTTCGTCGCGAGTGCGAGAGAAGAAAGGGGGAGAAGGAGTAAGGGGGCAGTCGCCCTCGACTCGGGAGGTACGATCGATGCGCGGCAGCCGTGACCTTAGGGCCTCGGGCGAGTACGCGCCTCGTCCAAGGGTCGCTCGGAGTGCACTCGATTCGCGTCTCATGCAACGCTACGTGACTATTATGCGCGACGTGGTGCTCGGCGATCTTACCTCTTGCTTGCTCTCGACTTTTTATCTGCCATGTGGCTTTTAAGGGGGGCGTGGATGGCGCGGGAGAAGTTACCGGGGCTGGCGCTTTTGCCGGGGTAGTGGTAATTCAATAGGAGGTGCTTCCACTGCTTTTGTCGCGTGAGTTGTAGCCTCGCTCGGGCGGTCGGTTGGATATTAAATTTTGGCCGTCGAAGGAGGAACGATTTCCGGGGAGGAGATTCCCGATTATATATCCGAGCGTCTTACTTTTTTATGATTTTTTTTTTATAATTAAGGGAGATTTGCTTTACGTGGAATATGCTATTGCGATGATATTGGTCATTGATTGGATTGATCGTTCGGAATGGTCAATAGTTGTTGATTTTTCGTTCGGGGGCCTTTAGAAGAGTCCGCTCGAATGTTTGTAAGGACGTTTGCGAGGAAAGGTCTGCTGGTGAAATGACTGTTTAGTCCTGGAACATTAATTGCCTCGAGACTTTAAGCCTACCGGGCTTCTTTCTCGAGCTACAATTTTATCCCAAAATTATGGGACGCAATTATTAAGAAATTTTAAAGCGCGCAAAGATTCTAAACTTCATCTTATCACGGATAATAGCAAACAATTTATGTAGTGGGAAAATTAGTTTCAAGCTCGAACTTAATAAAGTTCACTCGCACAAACTACTTGAATGCAATAGCCCATTATAATTAAAATTCATTTTATTTCTTGTATCTTTTTATTGTCCATTACTTTTATTTTTCATCGCTTTTGCATTAATTATTTATTATGTATTTTTTTTAAATTTTTGTTTTGTTTTGTTTGACCTTGTCAACTGCTTCTATCGACAATTTCACAAGACAGGGATAGAGTTTTATTTAAAATGCGATTATATTGTGAATGTGTTTATAATTAAGTGACGCGAATAATGCGGGAAGCTAAGCGATCGACTAAGCAATGATTAAACGACACTAATCAATTACACGACTCTAGCGAACACTCAAGTAATGTTGATTGTAGAATTTCTTCGATTTTACATTGACATTCATAAGTTGATTTCGAGAGACGTAAAAAGCAGAGGAATAATAAATTTCTTCGGCAAGTGGTCGTTGCCATTAAGAGGGATAATATGAAGGGAGATGGTCGACCAGCCGTTATCGATGCACTTCAACGGACAACGCTCGTTGAATTATTTTAACGAGTAAATGCGCTTAAGCAGCTTCAATTAGCATTTGTATGAAGATCCGAAGAGAGACGTAAGAAACTGCCGTATTAATTCGACGGAGCGATTCGAGTGCACCGGCGACCGAGCCTCCTCGAGAGCGGAAAAACAAGTGTTTAACTTGGGACATCGGCATTCGTAAATAGAGGACCTCGGCTACGGCTACGACAAGTGCTTGGAAGCTGCACAGCAGTGAGCTAGTTCCATTCTTCTTTTAATGCAATTAATCCGATGTTCCTCACCTTGGGCATAAAATGAAAGCACTTCGGCCGTGCTTATTCAACTTCATTTTTCCAGCACAATCACATGAGGCGATGGCTCGGCGATCTAATTGATTAAATGCGAGCGAGGCTCTGCTAAATCCATCGAGTAAGATGACGAGCTACGCACACTTTGCGGTACGAACAAATGACGATGTAATAGATAATAATCTCCGTGATTTCTTGCTCTCTAAGACGAGGAACAATGATCGCGTGCACGATACACCGACATTTACGAATACTTCCGCAATAAGATCATTCCTCCAACTTAATTGCCAGCCAGTGTCGCACATTTGTACTCTACTTCCCCACTAGGCTTACGAATTCCCGTTAAAAGAACTGGGAATCACTCGGTCTCCTCTTGGTCTCTCATTCCGCCAGCACTAAACGCACAGCATAATAACAAAAGGCTTGGCCTTACCGGTCACGCGACAGTCTTGAGGGAGCACGCGGCAAGGATGCACTGAGCTACGCGGACTGAAATCCTCGAGAATGGGTCAGGAGGAGAGAGCCCCGTCGAGCTCGAGAGCGCGCGCGCGTGTGCGTACATTAAGAGACAGAGATAGACATACGTATAGACAGACGGTCGGACGGACACTCTCTCTGTGTGCGTGTGTGCGTGTGCGCGTGTGCGCGTGTGCGCGTGTGCGCGTGTGTGTGAGGGAGAGAGGGAGAGAGGGAGAGAGGGAGAGAGAGAGAGAGAGAGAGAGAGAGAGAGAGAGATTGAGCGAGAGAGCGAGCGAGCGAGCGAGGGGGACGATGTGGGGGTAGGGGGAGAGCCGTTGGTATGGCAACTGTGCAGCAGCGACGGCGCAGGATTCGCGAGGGTAGGGATGCTGGCAGTGCTCCTGCTGCACGCGACGGGAGGGAAGCACGCGCGTGACCTTGACCTTGATGCGGCCGCCGCCGATTCCAGCTGGCAACGCGTCGCGGGTACTCGGCTCGAGTCGAGTTGCGTCTCGTTTCACTGGACGACGAGTCCAACTGAGAGATGCCGAGTTGCTATACGCGCCAATATAATTGACAAATGATGACGGCAAGTCGCTCCGCTTATTATGAATCGACGAGTATCGCCGTCGCTTCCTCTTTAGAATCAATATGGATGAGATCATATGGGAGGGCGACAGTTCGACGCTCAAGCCTATCATTCCCACCACACATTCGTCCACGAAATACGTGGCTAATAGTCGAGGGGATTTGTGACGTTTTCTGTGCACGGAACGTTTAATGACTGGATGTTGACGGAAGCTTCGCGCGCACTCCGTACCTTACGACTATTGCCGTTTTATCTACGTCCACGCGATTCGCGCTTCCGATTATAGATTGGGCACACGCGTGCCTGCGACTGACAGAATGTACTTGGTGGTGACACGCGCCTCTCCTCAGAAATATTAAAATAACACGACGATGAAAGTAAAAATTCCGAGGAGGAATTATATTTCATGGAGAAGTTTGCACGGAGTGTTTCATCGAATTCATTAGAGTGAATAAAAATTTATAGGTATTTTAATCGATTTTCGAAATAGAGCATGTGGAATGTTAAAATATTAATTGTGATTTATTATGAGTTTGCCGTTCGCGCTTAATTAATTGCACGTAAGAAGTTTAATTAATAAAGTGTCAGTGTGCGGTCGGTATTACAGTGCTCGATAAAGTCGCGTAAGGGATGTTATAATGAATAATTTATACGATATTGAAGGTGAAAGATAGTATTGCGATATTTAAATATGTAACGTTTAATATGTACTAAGGCATTCGATGATTTGAAAATAGCTTTATACGTAAAGTATATCCATACTAATTCTCTACCAATTTAGTTTGTGAATATTACTATTTATGAAACATAAATTGTCTGTCTTTAGAATATTTCAAACTTTATTACAACTAGCATTGGTAAAAAAAAAAAAAAAAAAAAAAAAAAAAAAAAAAAATTAATTGATAATAATTGAACAATGATAATAATACATATTTTAGACTATATTTTTATATATTTTTTTATTTTTTTCTTTTTCTTTTTCTTTTTTTTCTTTTTTTTTCTTTAATAATAATGAAAACACCATCGCATACAGTTGTAAAATTATAAATCAAATTACTTTTATATTTTGCAGTTTTTCTGCTTAACTTTTCACTATATAAAATGATTAAAAGTCGCGGAAGTGACTTTGCTAATCCTAATGATTCCCTATGAAATTCTATTATCCCATAATCGCTGTTGAGAAATCTCGAAAAAAAAAAAAATGAATACAAATAAGACATTTAAAGAATTTTATCGCAACAACGGTCATAACGACGACGCATTTATCGTAACGGATGCAATGTTTACCGAGTGCGAGTTTATGCTGGTAACGTCGATAGAGCAATAGTGATGGAATGGTGAAAATTTTGGTCTGTGACATTTAATAATTAATAGGAGGGTAGAGGAACGAATGTTGAACGAGACAAGATTGGGATAAACAATTGTGCGAGCCTGGGGACGCGAAACCAGGTCAAAAGTGATGTGCCCTATGTACATCCGGAAATAATGCTCAAAATTAAACATAAAAAATCATATTTGCATTGAATAATTCGATAAATCAACAAATCGAATTTCCCTTTTTCATAATGCATTTTTAATCGAGAAAGATCATCCGATTTGACTTGATAACGAGCGCTTTCTTCCTTTTTATTATTGAATTAAGCCGCTGCGGTTGTTGACCAAATGCTAATGTAATAATGCATTTCGTTTGATTATTAAATCATTATTTGAGCTTCAATTTTATTATACGGTGAATAATCTTACGACTTCTATTTGTTTTTTTTTTTTTTTTTTGTTTTTTTTTTTTTTTTTTTTTTTTTTGTTTCTTTGTTTTTGTTTTCTTTATCTTTATACAGATTTTCTTTTGTACAGTGAAGAAATATTACAATTGCACGAAGTTAATATAAAAAGCCATTCATCGAATCGTTACGTAGATACATTCATTCAATATAACATTTTATTTTATAATTTAATTTTTTATATTCTATGTATACACGTCAAGGGCAATATAAAGGAAGGAGGTCCGAGTAGTATGGCTGCGCCGATCATAATAAACGCAAAAGAAAATATCGCAATGAACTGCCGTATCTGGTGGCATATAATCTTAATTATCTGGTTGTATTATAAAAATTTAGTGCATGAAGCCATATTTTATATGTGTGTGTGTGTGTGTGTGTGTGCGCGTGCGAGCGCGCGTGCGAGCGCGCGTGCGTGCGTGTGTATAAATATATAAGGTAGTGTAAATATTACGTGTAATATAAAATAAAACTTATGTGTTGCAAAATTGTTGATAATACAAACTAGATAATACGGAAAAGTTGTAAAATTGGATCAGAAACTTGACATTGTAGCGAGCAATCGAAATTTCTTATCGATACCGCGTATTATTACACATGAACAATTATTCAATTGTAATTCAACGTTAATATTAAACATGATATACATTCATTTTATTCTTTGCTTTTTTGTTTTTTGTTTCACTTTGAATTAATTCAATATATTGAAACGTTATGAAATGTGAAATAGACAAAAGAAAATGCATTATTAATTGAAAGATTGCGTTATGGACGGTTAAAAATACAAAATTTATTTTTACGTAATAAAAGGCTCGCGAGCTGACATGACAATCAATGTTTGACGTTTAAGTTAATCATCACGTGACTTTCCATTTCAACCCGATACGGTTTTTACAACAGCGAAAAATGAAACGACCTACTTTGGACGATTTCAAGAAATGTATTTTGATTTGATATCTCGGACATTGAGAGTGAATCACCGCTCACGTTCATTGCTTTTCTCAAAACTGATTTTAAGTATAATTTGATTCTATCATATTCAGTTAGTATTCCATTTTTCCTCGTTTTTTTCTCTTCTTTTCTTTTCTTTTTTCTTTTTTGCAAAAGTCTTTAATAATTAAAAGATTATTTTAATTATAATGTTGAAATGATTTAATTGAAAATATTCTGATTTTAAAAATGTTAAAGTATCATTAAAATATAATTACTATTTGCAGTATATTCTCCATACGTATATCATCCATAATATGAAATATCAAATTATTTTATTATATTTACTTAAATGTAATGCACGTTCACGTTTTAATTTATACACTAACGGCATATGCATTTATGGTAATGAAATCAAATTAAAATAACATTGTGAGAAAAAGAAATGAATTCGTTAGAGCTCGAAACTTTGAACATTCTCTGATAATGAAACTCAAATTGCAATAATCTCTGTTATTATTATTATTATTATTATTATTATTATTATTATTATTATTATTATTTTTATTATTATTATTATAGAAATTCTCGCTACAAAGTCAAAGTACAAGAGGAGAAACTCCGTACGACGCCTATTGCGAGGAACACTTTAGTATTTAAGTGAAATAAAATTTAAAAATGTCCATGGCACGTTACAAAAATATTTAAGGGCAACTTGAAAATTATTTTTAAAGCCATATTCTACGATAAGATTTTATAACGGGACTTTCAAGATGAAAAGCAGCTGAAAATAAGCTTCGCTTATTATGCAGCCAAACTAAAATAGAAAAAGTCTCAGAAGCAATTAATCAAATAATAATCATTATCTATTGAAATAAATTAATGTATTTAACAATATGAAATATAAAATGTTACATCAATGTAATATTGAATGAGTTAGTTACATCATCAATTACTCATATTTTATGGAAAAAAATTTTATTTTTTATTTTTTTTCAAACTAGTCAACAATTTTATACAGAATAATAATTGCAACGATTCTTTTTATAATTATGCATTTTTAAGTATGCATTTTTAACAATTTAAGTTGCTCTTTCATGAGATAATAAATAAGCTTCGTACAGAGATAGGGAAGATAATACGTAGTAAACGAAATGTAAAAGTCAAAGATTAAACAGTAAACGATTTTATGTTACACGCATAAATACGTAAAAGTATTATGCAAAAGTTGTATCATCAGTGTAATATAAGAAAATTCAAAATGTGAGAACACTTTGGCATTTTAAAATTCAGTTTACTACATATAGTGGGATTGATAAACTTCAAATGAATTTTAAATATTGTTATGTGACAATTTTTTCTTACCTCACACAGTGAGCGGCATTTTAAATGTAATACCCGTAGACCGAAAATCTGAAATCATAGAACAAGAGTATTGAATGAAATTGAATAAAGGATAAACTAATAGAAAAATAATTAACGATTTCACAAATGCGTGCAAAATCAAAAGCAAAATTAAATATTACGCATCTGTAATACGATGAATACAAATTAATGTTAATTATCGAATATGGAGATAGATGTGTATATGTGTGTCTGTATGCATGTATGAAATATGGAAAATGATATTCACATTTTCAATTATCCATTTATAATTACTTTTTCATGATGAGTTCAAAAAATTACCGCACGTGCTTTTATAATTTTACTTTTCCCTTTAATTTTCCCCCACCGAAACCTCAAAATTTAATTACCATCTCAAGATCTTAAAAATTATCACACTTCCAACCTAACTAAAGACTAGAGAAATCCGAAGCTTCATACGAGCCAATTACCATCATTCGTCATTAAAATACGATATACGACGTGACAATGGTTGGAATAAAACGTAACGAGGATACTAGAGAGACTCGCACAAAGATTAAAAATTGTTCCACGAGCCAAAATCATGTTCAACCTCACGTAACACCCGTCCTCCTTTTTTACAGTGGTTATACACACATTGATCGAACGTCCTCGTCTAACCATGTAATTTCGAGGCTCGTGTTATTTACCTTTGAATACCATCTTCGATCATTGCCGAAATCTCGAGATTAAAAAGCAGCGCCAACTAGGCTCAGTACTAAAATATTTGTGAAGCAGAGGGAAATGAGAGGCTCGGTGATCCAAACTCGCGGACTTCTTCATTAAGTTGCCTTTCCAATGACGTTGGCTAACATCGGAGGAGCGGTAGAGGGAGGCGACGAGTCATTGCCGTCGCCACCGGGGCGCCGTCGCCACTACCACCGACCCATTCACACGACGAAGATGCTAACGACGACGACGACGACGACGACGACGACGACGACGACGACGACGACGACTACAAAGACAACTACGATGACGATGACGAGGATGACGATGACGAGGACAACGATGTCGACGACGATGACGACGACTACAAAGACAACTACGACGACGATGAGAACTGTGAACTACTCAAAAAGTCACAACCACGCCCGGGAAAGACGAGAGGAACTCTTGACTTTTGCTATTTATAATGGAGTGAACGAACGCACGGCCGACGTCTCCTCCGCTCGAGAGCTTCCGCCTGTCTTTTTCGGGAGAGCAGGGCGAGAATGGTAGAGGGAGGAACGAGGGTAGAGAGAGAGAGAGAGAGAGAGAGAGAGAGAGAGAGAGAGAGAATTGACTCGACTCTCATGATTTTTCACTGGGCCTTCCCTCTCACCGTTCATTTTCGCTTGGCGATTACACTGAATTGAGGTTGGGCGCACCGCGGCTTTTTGTTCAATGTATATGTGCCTCGATGTAATCAGTCTCGGTGATTTTCTTCCCGGGGATATTGTGTTTCGAGAGAGACGACGGAGTCTCGTTTTGTCAGGTAGCGACTGATGGGTGCTGGCAGACAGAGTGAGACGGCGGTGGCATAGCAGGGGAGCGAGGAGAAAGAAAGCCGGAGAAACTGAAATGAATTTTCGCGGTTTGTTACACTTGAGACTTTGATGGCTTTAAAAGCCTTTTTGCTTTCTGTTGGGACGTGATTTTAATTCGCTCGTTACAGAATAATGTTCCGAGAAATTAAATTTAACTTTTATTCTTCAATCGGATAGAGTTATAACTGTTTGATTTGACTTTGAGCTGCTAAACAACTCATTACGTCGTTAGCTAATAAGTTTTAATGTCTCTGTGGTAAGTCTTCATTATCAATGAACATTTATTTCTACGAGTCTCTCGACAACTTTATTATTGCCTGTCTTTTAGAGAACTTTTATGTATTTGGCAAATCTAGCCAATTTTTCTATTTAATCCGGGGAAAGAAATTCTATTGTTTTGAATAGTCCCGTGATTATTTTAGTTAAAAACGTAAATGAAATCATTCCTTTTTTTTTTTTTTTTAAATTTATTACATTTTCAAATTACCCCCGTCCCCACCCCCTGACCATCCATGTTTTTCCACCGATTTCATATGTTAAAGAAAAGTATATTACGTAATAAGTTTGAACAGAATCTATAACGAATCCACTTGTAATAAGAGTTGTATGTGTGTTTTCTTATTCCAAAGCAATAATAGAACGTACGATATTTTCATTACTTTTCAGCATTGATTGTTTCTTTTTCTCTCTCTCTCCCTCTCCTCTCTTATAAGCTATTATTGTACTATTCATTAAAGAGCATCGAGATCTATATGTCCTTGAAATTATGGAGACAATGTTATTTAACCTATTTGATTTCTACGCTATAATTCGTCGTTCTTGAACTTTATTGGCGTAAAATCAATTAAAAAAATAATCGAGCGCATTAGTAAATTACATGATTGAGAACATTGGAATTAAATATAAAAAGTTATATTCATTGTATAAAATGATTATTATTATCCGAATCATTGTGGTTGGAAAAAGTTATGCACTGAATTGCAGCAATAAATCTTTTAAGAAATCAACGTACGAATAGAATGTTTGCAAGAGTTTTAAATGGTCGACCATAAATAGATATAAATAAAAATAATTGAATCGAAAGGAGCATTTTATAATACGTCAAATGACTTTCTCAACATTGCAATGCTTTTATTTAGCGATTGTATCAACACAACAGTCTTATATTGCCATTGGGTGTATTTTTCCCACTTGTTCAAACATTAAAGATAAAAAAAATTTATGATAAGAAGATAACAGATGTCGTTTTGGATAATTGAAATTTATATATGATAATTTTATAATTTTATAATTAGTTATGTTGAAATTAGGAACTCAAATAGAACACTATTAAATTAACCAAAATTCATTTTGCCAATTTTCATTAAAATCCAAACTATTATATAGGAAATAAAAATAATTGTACGTGAAATACGGCACAAATAATTAACGAGTCACATTCGATGTTCGTCCGAATCAACAAAGGATCCACTAAACTATCCACAAAATGGATAAATTAACCGTAAATAAACTCTATCGAGCGCGTTGGCGCGTATTTTTTGTCTTTCTTTTTTCGTTATAAGGGGCTCTTGAAAATTAAAGGGAAAGCTTGGCTTGAGTATTCCATGCATTTCACCTCGCTACAGACTCCAGACCGGCTCGCAGCTTTATTTCAACTTTTCTTTTGTGTATTTACTTATCGCAGGAGTTTTTCCAACTGAACCGAGTAACTATTCCAAAAAAAAAAAAAGAAAAAAGAAAAAAAAAATACATCCACCAGGACAAAAAAATTACTTGAAGTCTTACGCGCTTTGATAAAACCTTGTGCAGTTATTACATTGAAAGCGTAAAAGGACGTTGGGCTTTGCCTTTTTTCTTTTAACAATGCTACGTAATATTGTAAGGATAAACGTATCGCGGTAATTGATAGGTCAATCATTTTTTGCTCATTGATAGTGTCAGTATCGGGAAAATATAAGTTATTTCAACAACAGCATAGAGGCTGCGTGAATTCTTAGAAATACGAGTGCTCATTGCCAAATATCGAAGAGTTTTTTCTCAAAATTACAAGAAACAAAAAACAAAAACAAAAACAATACAAAAAAAAAGAAAAAGAAAAAAAAGTTGTTCAACTGATTAAATAAACGAGGTTGAAAGAACTCAGATATAATTCACATCGACACCGATCATTAAAATGCCGATGATGTCATTGTGTATAGAATAAGCTGAAATTATCTGCCATTCGGTGTTACCTGTTTGTATAGGACATGCGCTACAAACACGTGGAACTGTTCGAAAAACTGGCCCACAAAACGTACAGTTACGTCTTGGATCGAAGCTGGATTTCCATTTGCGTTTGACAATCTCTATTAAAATTTTATATTTTGTTCGCAGATTATAAGCTCGTCTGGCTAATGAGTAAAGTAAAGTGAACGACTGGTGGATGCGCGTGCAAGAAAGAGGAAGATAATAACGGCCGATAAACAACGTTACCAAGTCAACACAAAAGCCCACAAAGTATCATTTTAGGCGAATGATTCGTCACACTCGACGCAATGAGACACACTCGTACGCATCTCGAGGATCACAAAGAAATCATTGTTATTGTAGCGGCCGAGTGCGAGGAGGAGGGCGGGGGAGAGGGGATGGGGGGATGGGAGATGGTGTATTGGGAGGAGGAGAAAGAGTTTTCGGGATCGCGACCGAAGGTAGTCAGTCGAGGCTCCATCCCTTCGGAAAAACCCGCCCGGACGACGTCTCGGTCTAAAGTGCTCGGTGACATGAACGTGGGCGAGGAGGCGACGACCGTGTCATCGGTGGGTCGACTACAGCCCCACCCCTCCCCACGCCCCATCCGCACACGATACGTGGGAAGTCACACGCCCACGCCTCGGTCCGAATTCCTTCACGAATTTCAAAAACAAGCATTTCCGCTCCTACGTTGAAAATACTTGGATTCGCTGCCGCTTTATGTGTGCACTCAATCCGGATAAATCCCGGCACGAGACGACCACAGTCGGGATTTTTGCCTTCCATTCGAATCGCGCATAACGAGGGTATACGGTGATATGCGCGGCCAGACGCTTTTCGACGGGCTCATCGCTCGTTTAAAATGGGTCGAGAGCGACGTTAGCATTAAGTGTTGCTGATTGCGCCGGTCAAACGGAATGGAATTAAATAACGTTCGCGGTATACATTTGAATAGGCATAATCTAACAATAAGCAAGCGCCTAATGCTTATTATTCAAATCGCTTCTTTTCATTGGGTACATCGGGCAAGCAGCGGCAGAAGCAGCAGCAGCAGCAGCAGCAGCAGCAGCAGCAGCAGCAGCAGCAGCAGCAGCAGCAGCAGCAGCAGCAGCAGCAGCAGCAGCAGCAGCAGCAGCAGCAGCAGCATATTTCGTAATGAAATATTTATTTGACAAGACACGTTTTAGAAAATCGCCAATATCGATCGCTTAACTTTACGAATATAGTGACTTTACAGTTGTAACGCATGCC